ATCTCTTCAGATATTATATAAAATAAATCTTCCTAATCTAGTTTGCTGCCAAGTCAGATTGGTGTTGCTAATCCTTTTTGTAGAACAAACCTACTTGTATTTCATTTGATTTATATTTTTGAAGTAACAGTTTTTTTTTTAGATCAAGTATTAGCTAGTATGACTATTGAAAGCTGTACTACTTCACTAACTCAAAATTTCTATCATACAAATCTCCTACCTATAAATCTTATCAAGATTTATTCATATAATATTATATCTTTTCAAATGTCTCATTATACTTCTAATATCTGAATAATATTAGTATAATATAATTTATAGAGTTACAACTTCAGAAACAAACAGAGTTTATTATAAGTTGAGTATAAAAGTCTAAGTAATTATTCAAATTCATCATAGTAGGATTTGAATTCCAGACCTCTTGCATAGCTGTCTAGCAATTTAACTACTATACTAAGATTATTAGACCTAGTACTAACAGAATTTAAATATATTGTTATATTATTTTTCATATTATTTATAAACTTGTGAATTTCACAAAACAAATAACAAGTAAATAAAAGCTGTTTTTTTATTCGTTTTTGCAAATCTTTACTTTTAAAAAATAGTTTAAACAATAAATACAACTCATTAAAAAAAAATTTTAATCTTCTATCTTTTTGTTTTATAGTTTTCTTAAGTTCGTCAAATGAATATATTATTAGTTTTTTTTTTTTTCCTCTTAAGCATATAAAATATCTATTATCTTCACTATTGCTTAAGAAAAAGATAAATTAGTATCTTTAAAATTAATTTCAGTCTTAACAGACATGCTTTCTTTAGAATGCTATTTGAATTCAAATAAACTATTTATAGTAATACTATTATAACAGTTTGAACAAATTGTATTATCTAATTGAAGATAATTTGGTAAAGTATTGTTAGATTGGACTTTAAAAAGAAAACTTTCAGAAACTCTTTTCAATTGAGTTGATTCCTTTTTGCAGATCATAATAATATATAGTTCAGTAACTACAGTACATAGTAATATAATTAATTTTTAATAAACACTTTATTACTAGTGTAGTGAAAATTAGAAGTGTAAAAGATTTAAAAAGCTTAAAATCTGTATAAGTACTTTAAACTGTATAAATTACAGAATTAACGATCAATTGATTAAATAGGCTAGAAGCTGAAAAAAAAGCTAAAAATGACAATTTTTTTAAATGAGTTTTTTTTATATAAATCAATTTAAAATTAAATTAAAAACATTTTTCATTTAAAATACAAAAGTAGTTGTATTAATAAAATTTTGCAGTATAGCTCTTTAAAGTTTGCATTTTCTTATATAAAAATTGATCTTTTTTTTTGTTATTTTCGGCCCTTTCTCCAGCACCTAGCTCAAATGATAATTTGATTGGTTAATTATTACGGATAATCACGGGTAGATCTATAAAAATTGACCAATCAAATGAATGTCTTCCTATGACTCACAACCCTACTCAAAAAGTACCCGAGTAATTGATTTGCATTAGCCAATCAAACGAATGTCTAACTATGAATTATCAGCCAATCAAATCAAAGTATTCTAGTCATAACCCGGAACCCTAGAAATTTTTAATTACTGAATTTGCATTATAATCAATTATGCAATACGTTACGTACAATATATAT